GTTTACCAAAGATTGGTTTCTCAAGGACAATTGGAAGTATAGTGATAATTCTGGAAGGACCATATTGACATAATCTGTAAGGAGGCAACTCTTGTTCAGAAGTGATAGTCAAATGGAATCTGGAAATGTTTCAAAGTTAGAATTTTCAATCTGTGTAAGATTAAGGAAACTTAATGCAAGAAGGATGTTTCCAAGGATTGATCTCCTTTGGAATGCTCTGTAATGATTGTTGCAAGTCTTTCTGACTTTGTGCATAATCATTACAAGAGGATCGATGCATATAAGTTTAGAATCTAACAGATTTCAGTAAATGACATGAATTTGGAATTCTTGCATTTGCAGTAAGGATTTGGGAGTGTGAAAAGAGAATCATTGAAGTTATGTTCATTGATCTAGTTCACAAAATAAAGATCATAGACAAACATATTATGCATACTTGGTGTATGGCATGACTATGTTTAGAAAACATAGTGTGCATGCTTGGAGCATGGGACAACTATTGTTTTAAATTCAAGAATAATGTTGATAGCTGAAACAATATACAATGAATAATGTGTAATCATATGGTGATAAATAAAAGGAGTTTTATTTATATTCATAAGTTCTGAGACCATATTGGATTCAATTATTATTGTGTTTCACTTTGCATGTTTTGACTTCCCGAATAAACTAGGTTATTCTTCCGGAATGACTAAGTTATTCAAACCATCCACAGTCGGTCATATGTTGGAAGTAGATATGAATTAAGACTGTCATGGGTTGGCTTGTAGAGGTCTAAGTGTTGGACAAAGGGCTACAACACTCATGAGTGCTCATAAGTTCTGAGTATTGGATTCAACCCGCGCTCATTGGAATCACTTCATGGATTTTATCACGAGTGATCATGAGACGATAATATCTTATATTCTTCAAACCTAGAGATATGAGTTGTTACTATGAGTTGGTTGTACATTGATTGCACGAAACGCATTTGGTAACTCGGTGCTATAAAACGTGTCTTTGTGTATGATTCAACAAGTAGTAGAACAAGCCATATGAGTCGAAGTTTATCCATTCCTTTTACCTTCGGGATAAAAGCGATATCTGTGGGCCCCTCGATGATTTGATGATGACAAATGGAAGTGCTCGGCCGGGCCAGGACTGATTTGATTTGTTCAATTAGTCAGTCGTCATAAATCGGAAATCGGGAAACAACTAATGGACAGAGAGAATGATTATAATCCATGTCTCAGTCCATATGATATCTAGAATGGAGGAATATATGATCCCTTATCTAATGGACAAGTCATTGACAAAGGTCAGAGTTCATCTACAAGGTCAGAGTTCGACAGAAGCTTTTGAGAGCTACGATTGCCAGTTGGTTCCTGAAGTCATACGCAATAATAGTTTTAGACTTATCCAAGTGGGAGACTGTTGGATTAATGTCTAAGTCCATAACTATAATTGGTAAGACTTGACCCGACCCGGCATGGTCCATTTGGGTTGCATGGCATCATGCACTTGGATAGACTATAATGAGAGAAATAAGACACTTATGGTTATTAATATATTATAAGTTCTAGTATATTAATAATAAGAATAATAAGATTATTTAATTAGTATTGATCAAGAATTAATCTAGGATTAATTAAGTGATCAAAAGAAGACTAATTAAATATATGGGTTGATTGTGTAAATCATCCATACTTATATAGTGGGCTAATGCTCCATGGATTATCTAGTTGGGCCAAAACCCATATGATGCTCCATGGTGTATTTGAACCCATGGATCCAAGGAAATGGAAAGTCATGACAATTAGGGTTTACCCTAATTGTAACACTATATAAAGATATTATTCTTCCCAAAATCGGTCACTAGATTATTCTAGAGAGGGCAAGTCGATTTCATGAAGTGTAGAATTCTCTCTAAGTTATTCCAAGTGTTTATGGTGTTGTGTGAACCATTTGAGGTGTCACACTTGGGGCACTAAGCACTCAAGCTTAATGAAGACAAGCACTATCAAAGAGGTATGTATTCTATCTTGTTATATCCATTATTTTGTATGCTAGATTAGGATAATACCTTGGATGTTTATATTTGCATGTATAATAGAGAAAACATAGATCCAAGGTATTTAGGGTTGCATGTACACTTAGGAGTGTTAGAATGCTCAAAACCCAACAAGTACAACATTCGAAGACTAAGCATATAACATTGAGGTACCACTTCATCAAGGATCATGTCGAAGATGGTAACGTAGAAATTCACTTCATCAGAACAACTGATCAACTGGCTGATATATTCACGAAGGCCTTACCTGAAGCGAGCTTCAATAATATTCTACAAGGCCTAGGAATGATGCAAGCCGAATCTGTACCAAAATCGCCTTCGCTTTCATAAAGGTAACAAGCAAAATAGAGCGAATTGAAATGAACCAAAATGAACTGAACGTTCGGTCTATTTCGGGTTCGGTCTATTTCAGGTGAAGCCCGACCATTAACCGAAATGAACCGAACGTTCGGTCTATTTCGGGTTCGGTCCTTCTGAACTCGTTCGCTTCTTTTTCTTAACAAGGCATTTTAACTGTATTCTTTTGTAAACTTTTTCATTACTTCTTTTCCACTTATAAAATCCAAAAAATATTTTTCTCTTTTATTCTCATAAAAATACTTATGAAATCCAAAAATATTTTTCTCTTTCGTTCATTTGGTCAATTCTCACAAAATTCAATATTTTTTTACTTTATTTTATTTTGTTTATTTTTTTATATATATCTAACATTTTTATTTTTGTCTAAGTGTGATTCTCGATGGCTTCTCGATGGCAAAGCTAAGGCGGGTAAATAATTTTATTAGTTAGGAGTCCCAAGAAGCATGTTGTTGTATGTTGACTAAAGCCTCGAAAGATTTTTGAGTGAAGCCTTAATAACATGATATATACCAATCATGTTTTCCCAATCCAGGCTGTCATATTCACTCTAATCATGAGCTACCTTACTCTACTCATATTGAGTTTAGAGTTTTCTGATTGGTCCTTCTTTTCTATAGAGCAGAGGTACATTCGCTTCTTATACCATCTCCATTACTTTTCTCCATTATAATTCGTTTCACCAATATAACTCCTGAGACTCTCAGTATTAACCACTGAGGTTTATGGTTATACAAAATATGCGTTCATGATCTTAGTTTCATGCCACTATGTACTAAGTGAAACCCAAAGTTCAACACCACTAATGAATTGATGGTGAATTCTAATATTCAAGATCTTACTTGTTACCTAATGAAATCTCTTTTTTCTTTTGAGTGATCTTTATGAGTTTGTCTTAAACCAAGGCTTGTCTTACCCAAAAGATCCAGTTTATTTTTTTTAGATTTACTTACTTCCTTTCGTCACTATAAAATTTATCTTACCTACTTGTTCAACAGATCACAATGATCTCACAAGTACTTCATTCAGTTTCAGTCTTATGTCATTTATCGAAATTATGAATTGAAGCGAAAGCCACCCTGTATAACCTTCAAAAGATGCCTTTTAATACTTCTCAACTAGTTATTGATCGTTATTTAATGGGAAACCAAGCAAGCACTTTAATGTCTCTCTTGACTTTAAAGGAAGTGATTTATTCCCAGAATCCATAGTTTTATGTCTACTTAAGACATCACAGATTATCCCACAAATTTTGCTTTATTTCTTTATCTTTTACACCCTATGCACGAAAATTATTAATTTTCCACACTCAAGTTCTTTTATGGCTATTCAATAAAGCATTACTGAAAACGGAGATTCAAACTTATTTTGGAATGACGATTGGGATAAAGTGAAAGCTGACTCAGCAGTTATCCAAACGGTTTTGGCGATTTAAAAAGTGAATTTTATGGAATGGCGCGTAAAAAGGAAACGTCCTTTCTCTTTCCTGCGTCATCTTTGGCATGCGAACTGTTTTTCCATCAATTCAGGCGCTATTTTTGAAATAATCGAAATCGGTACTCTCTAAACTTTTACCACTTACCATTCTCTCTCAAAAGAACACAGGTGATTTTTTGCAACTGTTCATCATCTTATCTAAGCTCTACAATGGCAGACTTTTCATCCATTCATGATACTTCCGTTTGTCAACCACTTCTCACAATCAAACCCCAACAGAACCTGATCATCGATCTCACCCCATTTATCTACGAGCCACAGATGCTATACGTTGTTGAGTGTCTAAAATACTCACCTCTCGTCGAGGCGCTGACTAAAGTCGAAGTCATACCAATGTCTTGCCTTTCCCTTGTCTACTCTACTGCCTACTACGACAAGGTTAATGAAAGGATTCACTTCGAACTCCACGATGAGAAGACCTCTATCTCCAAGCCTCGATTATCTGCCCTAATTGGTCTCTCTCAATAACAATCTCTAGTAAACCCTAACTCCATCACAATTGGTCAATTGTTTTCCATGTTTTATCAGATGGGATATACTGAAACCCTAACCACCATCACAAAGTTCAAGAAGTCCTATCTTCTTCCTCAATGGAATAGCCTTTTCACGTTGCTGTTCAAGGGACTTCCTAAGCGAAGCGCTGGCTCAGATGGTGCGAGCATGTCTTTTATGACTGTGTTGTATGGGCTATACCATGGGATCGAGTTAGATTACGGGTCTTTTATCTGGCAGCAGTTGGTTCAATGCTTGGTTTCTTCATCCAAGCATTCTGAGATCTCATGTGGGCGATTTCGGTCGATCATCACCAACTGGGCAATGGACCGCCTTCGTGTTCCAATAATGGCGGATTCTCTTCTATCATCCATTGCTACCTTTCACACTACCAAAATCATTGTCACCGATCCAACCAAGTACTCCTTTATTGGATCCATTCCTAAAACAATGTTCAGTTAAATCTCTGCATGGAGTAACGTTCTCCAACAATACAGGAAGCTTCCATGGTCGGGACCAAGGGAGATTACACTAGCCATGGTTTGCTCCATTGAAGAGGCTGACAAGCCAGCAAAAAGGGGTAAGAAGCCTGATACTCAAAACGATGGGACCTGTCTCTAAACCAACCAAGAGGCAAACCCCCAAGAAACGAAAGTCCGACAAGGCTGCAACATCACAGGCTCCACCAAACAAACAGAAGAAGCCCGCTAGGAGGCTTATTCTACAATGCTCAAGTGATTCAGATTCAGATTATGTTCCTCCTAAACATAAGAACGCTTCTCCTTCAGAATCTGAGAGCGAAAGCTCTGATGATAAGGCTTCGGGCTGAGGTGATACTCCGCCTCGCTCCCCTACCCCAGAAATTCCAATTTGCTCTCACTCTCCTTCACCTCCACCAATAACCATACCAGTATCTATCCCTCCTATATTTCCCATTCCAACCACTCAACCATTCACTACAATTCCTATCCCTACTCCCAATTTCACAGATACCACTACTACCACAGGAGCTCACTTTACTACTCCCAATCAACCAGTAACAATCAAACCACCTGTCACAATCGAACCTCAAGCTACTTCAAAATCCTTATATCCCACTCAATCCACTGAAACAACTCCTATTCTTGGCGGAGAGGACTTGGAATTTGATTCCACGTATTTTAGTCCTTATCGTCTGCAGAGTGATGATAATGACGATGAGCCTGTTACAAAGCATCATCTCAAGGTAGTAAATGAAAAACTTGATGAACTACTCTCATCCTCTTCCTCCGGAGCTTACTCTAAAGCTGCATTGAATGCCTTGTTCTCCTCTGTTGTTACATAACACAGTACCACACTATCTGGTGCACTTAAATCAATTCAAGCCTCAACTTCACAGTGTCAACAAGCCTCTCTTGCTGTTGATGCTTCTACTAAGGAGTGCAGGGAAGTGACCGTAAAAGTCGATAAACTAGTTTCTGAAGCTCACCTGTTTTTAGATTCCTTGCAGGCTGCTTCTGCAAAGAATGCCCAAATCGTCAATGCTTCAGTGGAGAATCTTCAACGGTCTCTTCACTCTGAACATTCCAACCATGAAGCTACACGACAGGCCATTGAAGCAGCCAATGAATCTTTACATGCTAACATCAATGAATGATTGACTCAACTGGAGGCTGAGTTATCTGTAGAGAATCGTATTATGGATGAGCTAGATAGGTGCACCTTACAGCTAAAACTGCAAAACCACAAGCTACGTACTGCTAGTGCTGAGGTAAATGACCTAAAGTCGAAAAGGGAGGTCATTCGGAGTTCTGCTACTGATGTTCACTCCATCCTTCTCCATCTCATTGAGGCTCGTTATCCTATCATCACCATAACCATCATGCGCCATCTGGCAGACAAGCTCAGACCAGCATTGGACATCCTTAGTCGTATCGAGGGTGTTCCAGTGACTGGGTCTGTAATGCCCGGGTTTTAGGGCTAAGCATTTTTGACAATGTAATCGTCTAGGTCAACTATTTTAACTCTTTTTGAAGTAATAAAGATGAAATATTTTAGTATTATGTGAATTATGTGTTTTTATGTGCTTATTATTTAATTATAAATGTATAACTAATAAAGAATAAAAAATAAGCATCAAAATTAAAGTGTGAGATAAGCCCTATATCTTTATATAATGTTTTAGTGGTCGAAACAAGGATTCCGGGGATATAAAGAACGCCGAAATCCGAGTTATAACGAAGAAGTTATGACCAGTTGAAGTTTCGCGACAAAATCAGCACGATACCGGGAAGCGTAAATAGTAAATTTACGATAGAGCTAGATTTAGCCTTAGTGATCTAAATTAAATTCGTAGAATATGTTAAACTAAGAGCGTCGATAAAAAGAACGCCCAAATCTGACTTCGTATGAGGAAGTTGTGACTTTTCGAAATTCCAGATTAGTAGTGTACAACCCGAAATTCGAATATTAGATCGAGCGGTTTTTAGCCAGCACGACCTGAACGAAAATCAAAGATCTCGTTAATAGTAGCGTAACAAGAAAAAGATGGGAAAAAACAGACGTCGGATGAAGAAGTTATGATAATTTAACGGACTAATCTTGTCCCGTCCTGTTAATAATATAACTTTTAAAATAGTGTCAAAATTATCCGACGGAGTCTAAACGAAAACGGAGCTTGTATGTTAAAGTTATGATAATTTAACGGACTAACCTTGTCCCGTCCTTCGCATGGATATAAAGAACGTCGAAAACGGAGCTCGTATGTGAAAGTTGTGATTTTTAGAAGTCGGAGTTTGAATTTGCGATATCTGTTGCGAGGTGGTGACGTGGCTCAATCCTAACCGTGGCTTGCTGATTACAGCTCTCTTTAGATGAAGGACACGTCGCTTCACCCTACGCCCCGCGTCCGAGTTCGGTATGCCCAGCTTACCCTCCAGTCTTATCCTTTCACACCCCGAAAATCGGAGGCGGAAACATTTCCGGGGTTGACTCAACGTTGACTATCAAATCCAATGCACATAGTAAGTAAAGTAAAACAACCATTACATTACATAAGAAAAGTTTTACAGTTGTTTCAAAAGTAAATTTTGTACAGTTGTGATACATAGTAAATATAAACAAAATGAAACGGGTCTTCATGTACTCCGTCATCTGACCAAAAAGGGATCTTCGGGTACCTGTTCTAACGCTGACCTGAGAAAACAAGTGGTTTAAAAATCAGCATAACGCTGGTGAATTCATAAGCGGTTTTTGTTTGTGAAAATGTTTCAAGTTTCCTTTCTGTTTCTGAAATGTTATGTATACCAAGAAAATCCCATATTTTCTTAAAAGATGGTTGTTGTTTCACAAATGTAAAGTATAGTAAGTTTGTACACTGAAAACATGTCTACTCATGTGAAAATGTATAGTTTGGTTATCCGACTTGTTAAACTGTTCTGTTTACCTATCGTGTATTCCCAGGAAAGTCCCATACTTTCCTTATTGTATATTACCAATTGTAAAAGATGTAATGTTATCCAGTTTGTTTACTCTTTCTAGTTATGTAAGTGTTACCCAAGAAAGCCCTATGCTTTCCTGCATGTTGGTTTCCAATCTGAATGATGTAAAAGATGTAAAAGATGTAAACGTGGTCAGGTTCCATGTTTTCCCCAGGAAAGTCCCATACTTTCCTGAATGTTAGTTACCGTACGTGAAAGATGTAAAAGATGTAAAAGATGTATAAAGTGGTTTATTATTACTATAAGTAAATCTCCGTTATGCTAATTGCGAGTTCCATAACCATACGATAGACTAAAACCTGTGGCAATAAGTAGTCCACATGTGGCAATAAGTAGTCCACATACTTATGACTTTCGTCACCCTTGAACCATTTCGGTTTGGCTGTAGCTAGCAGCCAGGCATGGGGTAGTCAGCCCCGTATAGATCTATACACTCAAGTCACGCTCTCTAAATACCAGAGATTCTGGTTATGGGTGTAGTCCTCCACTCGCGTATCTTTGTGGAGTGTTCGCCGAGGATGTGTCTCCAATCATACATGATTAACAAATTTACTAGTAATAATATGATAGTCCTCCACTCGCGTATATATGTGGAGTCTTACCGAGGACAAAACAGTGTACAGGTATTATATTCAAATGTCTAATGTCATGCTTTGAACTGATAAAATATGGAAAACCATTTGTGAAATATATGTAAAACATAACAGTTTAAAGACCTATTTCACAAATATATGTTAATGGCTTAAATGGACATGGGGATTTGGAGTGTTTAATGGCTTAAATGGACATGGGGATTGTTGGAATGGATTTCTAAAATGCCTTGGAATGGATTGAATGGAATTGTTGTTGGAATAGTGTCTAAGGCTATAACTATATTCGGTGGTGCATGGTCCTTTTGGGTTGCCTTCACCATAGCAACTTGAAGGATGTTTTGTTAAGAGAGAGTAAATATTATAAGGAATAATATTTAGCTATTTGATTAATATAAGTCATAGATTAATTGGTATTAATTTGATGACTTAAAGAGATTAATTGTATAAGAGGGTATAAATTGTCAATTGTTTGCTAGTTAGACTTTAGACTATAAATCCATTAGGATGGACTTTGGACGGTTTCTAAGAGCTTTAGGATAGCTCAAAATAGTCCATAAGGATATCTATGGAATGGATTTGGATAGCCTTAAGTGAAGATTATCCAATTAGGGTTTAGGGTGAAACCCTTAAGGAGTCTAAAGGTATAAATAGGCCCTTGGGGTGTGGAATTCGTGTACAAGCTTTCAGAACCTAAAGAAAGGAACCTCTGGCCGAATTCCATCCCCTCTCCTCTCTCCTAAATCATCTTGCTTGCTATTGGTGTTTGTAACCATTAGAGGAGTGACAATTGTGACTCTAGAAGCTCCAAGACAAGAAGATCAACAAGGAACTCAAAGGTATGATTCTAGATCTGTATTAATGTTATTGTTTAACCTAATTAGCCATTAGAAGTCTTGGATTCAAAAGCATGTTTGATAGAAAGCCTAGATCCAAGCAATAGGGTTTTGCATGCGCACATAGGAAAGTTCTTATGGCTAAAACCCAACAGTGGTATCAGAGCCTAGATTGGTTTTCTACAAATTGTTGCTTGTATAACTGAAACAAACCTGCAAAATTCGATTTTTTGGTTTTGAGTCACTGACTCGTCGAGTTCCAAAGTGGACTCGGCGAGTAGGCCTGACTCGGCGAGTCCATTGTGTACTCGGCGAGTCCAAGCGTCAGGAAAGGCCAGATTCGGGATTTCTTTGTGTTTATCTTATCCAAACTTACCATAAACTAATTAGATCAATATGAATCCGTTTTTTTGATAAATATAAGTGTTATATTGATCTAGTTAAAGGTAATTATCAACTAATTAAATATTTAGTTTCTTTATATGATAATTAATTAATTGTTTTAATTATTTTTGGTAATTATCTTCAAAGAAATCAAAGATAAATCAAATAAAGATAATTAAGATATTAATTGTTAATTGAAATTATTTGTTATTTGATCCTCCATGTTTTTAAATGTTTAAAACCTACCCTATAGTTTTGAAATTTAAATTTGTGATTAAAAGCTTTAATTTAGACAACTTAAATTTCAAACCCTAGATTTTGAAAAGTTTAAAATACAACCCTATACTTATATGACATTATTAGAATAATATATATATGTATAACTAAATGCTAGTCTTACCGCTAGTAGGCCTCATTCACGAAGCCGATCTATAAGGTGGGTATAAGGTTGCGGCCTATAAAATGGCGCTTAATGGGTGTACACTCACACCCACCGCTTGCTTGATTGGTGGAGGGTCGTTAGCCGAACGGGTAGGATAGGGCAACCTCATCCTCTCATTAAAAGTATAATAAGAAATACGAAGTAACTAAATTTTTTAAATTTCCCAATCTTAGTTACTTTAGGAAAAGTGAATTGATGCAATTCCATGAAATTACACTTTGCACCTTGCTAAGATGTTAGTGGAGCGTGTGTGGTTTACCGGCACACTAATTGGTTCTAAGCGAAGGTGGCGAAGGGTGATTCATTGTTTATCATAGTTCGATGGAGCGTGTGTGGTTTACCGGCACATCGAATAGGTGATCGTAACAATGAAGGCACCATGTAAATTTGCATGGTAATTCACACCCGCTTTGTGATCCTCGGCATCCCAGTCACAAACAAGAGGGGCATATCGAGATTTAAACATGCCATTGAATAGTTCAATGAATCTCATCCGAACCTAGGAATTCTCAAAAACACTTAGGACTAAAAGTTTAAGTTTTGTGATGGAGAATTAGTGAATCGTCATTCACTTACCTTCAATTTATTTGCATGTTGGATTACGGCATCCCTTTTCTAGTATGTAAATGTTATTGTTGGATCCTAGCCCTAATTTTTCTTATTGGGTGATAATTAGGGATTCTTGTTCTAATCTATCTTTGTCCTTTCTATAGATGTCAAACGCAAACAACGCTGCTGCTAGTTCTTTCACGTTGATGAGCCTTTGCCAAAAGGTCACCTTCGATGGAACGAACTTTGGCGAATGGATAAGATACATTCGCACCATTGCTCGCTATGAGGATAAAGAGTATGTCCTCGACGAGAAGCTCGAGAAAATCAACCCCGAAATTGCTACTCCCGCTGAAATCACCGCCTTTGAAACCCATGAGCGAGATGCGACGAAAGTACATTGCATCATGATCGCCACCATGAACTCCGAGTTCCAAAAGTCCTACGAGGACATGTATCCATACGAGATGCATCAAGACTTGTTGGAGAGGTACCACCAAAACGCGAGACAAGAGCGTTACGAGATCTTCACCAACATGATTTCCGCTAAGATGGGTCATGGAGAATCTCTTACCGTGCACTTGCAAAAGATGCAAAGGTATGTCGACCGCCTTCGCAAGTTAAACGTTGACTTCGGCGAAGACTTGGCGATCGACATGGTGCTTCACTCTTTGCCT